AGGATGTTGTTCTCACTGTGACGATTAGAACTTATCCAAACCAAAAAATGTGGATAGATGGCAGCATTCGCCCAAAACTGATAGCGTGAACCACCGCAATTAACCACGGCAAGGTGACTGGGAACATGGACGAGTACAAACAGTCCAGTTATGCCCTCCGTAAGGCAATAAAACAGTCACAATTCAATGGCTCAGACACGAGATGTACAGTCGTGGTCAAAAGTCCTGCCACAAAAGGACCAGCTGACATCATGTCAGTGATTCTATCGTTAACACAGGCGAGAGTGTTGACGAGGACAAGGCTGGAGATCACTCTGTCATGCTGATTGAGTTAGAATAACAGACTGGAAGCTTTAAAAGGAGGGTGGTGCTTGAAATCATTGTTCTTCCTCTGTTAACCATGGTTACCTGCAAGGAAACACGTGCCGTCATCATTGCTTTGCACAAAAAGGGCTTCACAGGCAAGGATATTGCCGCTAAATCAACCATTTATCGGATCATCAAGAACTTCAAGGAGAGCGGTTCAATTGTTGTGAAGAAGGCTTCAGGGAGCCCAAGAAAGTCCAGCAAGCGCCAGGACCGTCTCCTAAAGTTGATTCAGCTGCGGGATCGGGGCACCACCAGTGCAGAGCTTGCTCAGGAATGGCAGCAGGCAGGTGTGAGTGCATCTGCACACACAGTGAGGCGAATACTTTTGGAGGATGGCCTGGTGTCAAGAAGGGCAGCAAAGAAGCCACTTCTCTCCAGGAAAAACATCAGGGACAGACTGATATTCTGCAAAAGGTACAGGAATTGGCTGCTGAGGACTGGGGTAAAGTCATTTTCTCTGATAAATCCCCTTTCTGATTGTTTGGGGCATCCGGAAAAAAGCTTTTCCGTAGAAGACAAGGTGAGCGCTACCATCAGTCCTGTGTCATGCCAACAGTAAAGCATCCTGAGACCATTCATGTGTGGGGTTGCGTCTCAACCAAGGGAGTGGGCTCACTCACAATTTTGAGAACACAGCCATGAATAAAGAATGGTACCAACACATTCTCCGAGAGCAACTTCTCCCAACCATCCAAGAACAGTTTGGTGACAAACAATGCCTTTTCCAGCATGATGGAGCACCTTGCCATAAGGCAAAAGTGATAACTAAGTGGCTCGGGGAACAAAACATCAACATTTTGGGTCCATGGCCAGGAAACTCCCCAGACCTTAATTCCATTGAGAACTTGTGGTCAATCCTCAAGAGGCGGGTGGACAAACAAACCCACAAATTCTGACAAACTCCAAGCATTGATTATGTAAGAATGGGCTGCCATCAGTCAAGATGTGGCCCAGAAGTTAATTGACAGCATGCCAGGGTGGATTGCAGAGGTCTTGAAAAAGAATGGTCAACACTGCAAATATTGACTCTTTGCATAAACTTAATGTAATTGTCAATAGAAATCTTAGACACTTATGGAATGCTTGTAATTATACTTCAGTATACCATAGTAACATCTAAAAAAATATCTAAAAACACAGAAGCAGCAAACTTTGAAGACCAATACTTGTGTCATTCTCAAAGCTTTTGACCACAACTGTATATCGCAGGGACTCAAGACAATCAAGGATTATAAATGGAAAGACAGCCACGTCGCTAACACCGACGCCTTGCTCCCGGACAAGCTAAACACCTTCTTTGCCCGCTTCAAAGAAAACAATGTGCTGCCGACGCGGGTCAACACCAGTCATGAGGACTGGGTCATGAGGATTTGCGTGTATTGTTTTGTATTGTTAGCTAGGAACATAAGCATTTCGCTACACCCACAATAACATCTGCAACATATATGTACGTGACCAATAACATTTTATTTGAATAGGAAGAGGGTGAAATTGCAGCTCCAGCATTCAGTAAAGAGAGAATGTAGGCTACTGGATACGGCAGGTAACTTTGTGGGAGGACATTATTCCCCAGTTCCAGTCCCTAGAGGGAAAGACAGAGAGATCATAGCAACATAACATTCATTGCTGTCTAATTTGAGTATAATGAAGCCTGTTTCTTTGTGATGTTTTCTGTCCTCAGATATGGAAAGCTGTGAAAACTTTTGTTTGCAGATGAAGAGAAAGGTACCAATGAATGTCCCAAGATATGGATTTCCATACAGGATTTACCCCAGTAGCGCAGGGATCAGCGGAGGAAGGTTGGCCACCGTTGGTATGGAATTTTTTTGGTTCACCTGAAATTATGCTTTAGTAATAATATCCTACTTGTTACTACTCAATTATTTATTGTTGTTTAGACTAAGATGTCTTATCTTTACATACGAGTTAACTTATTTGTACATTTTGTAGTGATGAAGAGTTGATTCTTTGAAGTGAAGTGTTTAAAGCTGCAATATGTAAACCTTTTGGGCGACCCAACCAAATTCACAGAAATGTCATTCTCATTGAAAGCAAGTCTAAGAAGCGGTAGATGTGTTCTATGTCCGCTATTTCTATGCTTCCTGTTCATAAGTTTTGTTTTTGCGTCTTTTATTTTCGGTTTGTACACCAGCTTCAAACAGCTGAAAATACTATATTTTTGGTTATTGAAAGTATATTTCACAGCGGTTTAAACTGTACAATTCTCTTCACTCTATATTGCTTGTTTTGTCACATAAACTGAAATTAGAATTTTAGCAACCAGAAAATGTCGGAGTGATTTCTGCATATTGCACCAATAAACTTGTGTCAATGTTGGTCAAATATCACAATCCTGCAATAAAGAGGGGAAGGGGTTCTGTCTCTAATGTGTCTGTGTTTCTGTGTTGTATTCACAAATTAACATTTCCTTTTTGTCTAGTTGTAAGATCTCCAATCTGTTTTATTTGATTGTCACTCTCTCAGTATATCTGAATCCATTTTTCAGTTTATCGTATTAAATTGAGGAGAACAGGCTTGTGGTAATGACTGGAGCGGAATTAGTGGAATGGTGTCAAATACATCAAACACATGGTTTCCATGTGATTGATGCCATTCCATTCGCAACATACCAGACATTATTATGAGCTGTCCTCCCCTCAGCAGCCTCCACTGTATGGCATGCATCGCCAATGCAGCCATAGGCCTACAGTATGATGGCATTACTGGCCTTATGTGGATCTGTCATCTGAAGCAGAGAATAGCTAAACTCACACATTGTTTACACGTTGAGCTATATGTTCTCAATAAAAAATTATACCAGTAGACAATGTATATGTGGCAAACCATATATAGTTGAAGTTGGAAGTTTACATACACTTCAAACTCAGTGCCTCTTTGCTTGACATCATGGGAAAATCAAAAGAAATCAGCCAAGACCAAGAAAAAGAATTGTAGACCTCCACAAGTCTGGTTCATCCTTGGGAGCAATTCATCTGTACAAACAAAAGTACGCAAGTATAAACACCATGGGACTACGCAGCCGTCATACCGCTCAGGAAGGAGACGCATTCTGTCTCCTAGAGATAAAAGTACTTTGTTGCGAAAAGTGCAAATCAATCCCAGAACAACAGCAAAGGACCTTGTGAAGATGCTGGATACAAAAGTATCTATATCAACAGTAAAACCAGTCCTATATCGACATAACCTGAAAGGCCGCTCAGCAAGGAAGAAGCCACTGCTCCAAAACCGCCATAAACAAGCCAGACTATGGTTTGCAACTGCACATGGGGACAAAGATCGTACTTTTTGGAGAAATGTCCTCTGGTCTGATGAAACAAAAATAGAACTGTTTGGCCATAATGACCATCGTTATGTTTGGAGGAAAAAGGGGGTGCTTGCAAGCCGAAGAACACCATCCCAACCGTGAAGCACGGGGGTGGCAGCATCATGCTGTTTTTATTAACATTTTGTTAAAATCGTGGGAGAAATTGAACTAGCTAGTAGCTAACGGCTGCTAGCTAGTTATACCTTACAAGGTTAGCTGACTTTTCTCAAAACAAACCTCATTGTAGCTAGCTACTTCTTGTCTCTCATGCTAGCCTGCACAGCCAAATATCAATCCAGAAATTTCCAAATGAAAAATATTGATATGGCCAGCACTTTGGACCATTTCTCCCCTCTTGCTGCAGCTTTAGCTAATCTCAAATAACATAGGAATGCAGTGAAAACCAGCGTGCTGCAAACGTTCTATAATGTTTTGTCACCAGTGCTTGTTTTGTTGATTTTTTTTTTGTCCTCAGACACTTTTGTTCCTACAGCACTAATCTGGCGAGCACCTTTGGAGCTCCGCCCAAGCAAGGCATTTGATTTGTTTGACGTGTTGCGAGGCGTCACTGATTTACACCGGATTCCCACCCATCTTTAGCTGATTTCTGACATGGAACTACCCCAGGCTTCCCGTTTTAGGGAAGCCTGGTTCGCGACGACGGTAACCTAACCCTGGCTTTCACAACCAAACTTAGGAGACTAACGCCTCAGTTCACACAAGTTTGCGGGTGCGTCCCAAATGGGAGCCAATTCCCTATGGAACCTGATCAAAAGTAGTGCACTATATAGGCCCTATAGGTAATAGGGTTCCATTTGGGATGCAACCTGAGTGAGTGCATGAAAAGCAGATCTGAGTCTATCTAGATATAGCCAAACATACACCAGACACATGTTCACTACACAGTAAAGTCTAGAAAGAATGGCTCGGGTTTTATTGGAAATGTGTGCGTGTGTGTGTGTTTGTGTGTGTGTGAACATGTAGGTGAGAGGTGAGATGCTGGTAAGGATGACACAACCCTCATCCATAGTTAACTATCAGACTGACAGCATACATTACACATACCCCTCTTTCAGCTTCCATTATTTCAACAGGACTCTGCTAAAAATCTTAACAAACCTTCTGCTTTTGGTCAGTGTGACCTTATGGTCAGATGAATGCGTTGTTTACAAAATACATGACATATTTATTTTCATGTTTCCATGATATGTGTAAGTGTGCATGTGTGTGTGTGTCAAGGCCCCACTGTGACCCTTTAAGGGGTCGACAGAGAATACGTAGCCGGGGAAAATGGCTGTCATCAGTGTCACGTCACTGGTACCTGTTTGATGGCCGCCATCTTGATCTTCTCATAGTAGTGTAGGGGGGCGTGGGGGGTACTCATGTCATAACCAAATCCAGCCACGTCTACCTCATCACAGTTATGGAGGGCCATTGTTATGGCAACAGTCCCCAGTGTCGGAATATTCTGGAAAACACAGAAGAGAAGACAAATGTTCCCTGAAACAGGACAGTGAGTAAAGTAGCCTATTAGAACTACTGGAGGTTAATAGAACATGGGCTAACAAAGAAGAAATGTGAAAATGTAAAAAGGTTACCAAAACAGAAGTCATGGAACTATTTGAAAGACTTTAGTCACAGCTGAGTCAAGATTCGACAAGATGGTGCCGACAGACATGGTCGCCCAGGTCCTAGCTCCTAGCCAACTTTGCAGTACTTCGTTTTTTTGTGTGTTATTTCTTACATTATTTGCTCAGAACATTTCTTGCATTATTACCTACAGCCGAAAATAACTTTTGGATATTATATCACCCGGTCACTAACTAGCATTTCGACCATAAATTAGACTTTCCTGATTCTTTGTTCGTACCTCCCAAGGCATTTCCACTCATCCCAGGGGCTGCTCCAAGACGCCACCGAAGGAGAAGAGGAATACGGAGTGTGCTTTTAGTTGTATACCATCCACTGCTTCCAAGTATATTACTCACTAATGTTCAGTCCATGGACAATAAAGTAGACCGGAACAGGGCGAGGATCTCCTTCCAGCGAGACATCAGGGACTATAACATACTCTGTTTCATGGAATCATGGCTCTCTATGGATATACTGTCCCCATCCATACAGTCAGCTGGGTTCTCCTTACATCGTGTGGACAGTAAGAAAGAACTCTCTGGGAAAAAGAAAGGTGGAGGTGTATGTTTCATGATTAACTACTCGTGTGATTGTGGTAACATTCAGGAACTCATGTCCTTTTGTTCTCCCGATCTGGAATACCTCACTATCAAATGGCCACCACATTACCTCCCGAGATAATTATCTTGGGTCATCGTCACAGCCGTGTATATTCCCCCTCAAGCCAACACCGCGACTGCCCTCAAGGAACTACACTGGACTTTGTGCAAACTGGAAACCGCATATCCTGAGGCCGCATTTAATGTAGCTGGGGACTTTAATAAAGCAAATCTGAGGAAAATGCTACCTAAGTTTTAACACATCACCTGCGCCACTTGCTCATCAAGAATTCTTGACCATTGCTACTCCCCCTTCGGGGACGGCTACAAGGCCCACCCCCGCCCTCCCTTCGGCAAATCGTCAGTACAGAGACAAAGTGGAGTCGCAAGTGGAGACTGAGTGCTCGTTCTCCGTGGCTGACGAGAGTAACACATTTAAGTGCGTTAACCCTCGTAAGGCTGCCGGCCCAGACGCTCAGAGCATATGCAGACCAGCTGGCTAGAGAGTTTATGGACATATTTAATCTCTCCGTATCCCAGTCTGTTGTCCCCACTTGCTTCAAGATGTCCACCATTGTTCCTGTACCCAAGAAAGCGAAGGTAACTGAACTAAATGATTATCGCCCCGTAGCACTCACTTCTGTCATCATGAAGTGCTTTGAGAGGCCATAGTGGCCGTTAGCCTGACGTTTGATTTTGTCATTTTAAAATATCACCCCCCAAAAAAGCAATGTCGGGGCCTCCTGAGTGGCGCAGCAGTCTAAGGAACTGCATTGCAGTGCTTGAGGCGTCACTACAGATCTGGGTTTGATCCCGGGCTGTGTCGCAGCCAGCCGCGACCAGGAGACCCATGAGGCGGCCCACAATTGGCCCAGCGTCGTCCAGGGTTAGGGGAGGGTTTGGTCGGCCGGGATGTCCTTGTCCCATTGCGCTCTAGCGATTCCTGTGGCAAGCTGGGCACATGCACGCTGACAAGGTCGCCAGTTGTACAGTGTTTCCTCTGACACATTGGTGCGGCTGGCTTCCGGGTTAAGCAAGCAGTGTGTCGAGAAGCAGTGCGGCTTGGCTGGGTCGTGTTTCGGAGGACGCATGTCTCTCGACCTTCGCCTCTCCCGAGTCCATACAGGAGTTGCAGCGATGGGATAAGATTGTAACTACCAATTGGATATCACGAAATTGGGGAGAAAATGGGGTAAAAAGTAAAAAAAATTGATTTAAAAAAAGCTATGTCCTGCTCTTTTCCTAAATGTTTGTATTTTGCATTACTAATTTGTCAGAAATATGAATTTTTTTACATTTACATTTGAGTCATTTAGCAGACGCTCTTATCCAGAGCGACTTACAGTTAGTGAGTGCATACATTTTTCATGCTGAAACAGAAAAGTATTTAGAGCCTTTTTACATTTACATTACATTTTTTTAAACATTTTAGTCATTTAGGAGACGCTCTTATCCAGAGCGACTTACAGTTAGTGAGTGCATACATTTTTCATGCTGAAACAGAAAAGTATTTAGAGCCTTTTTACATTTACATTACATTTTTTAAAACATTTGAGTCATTTAGCAGACGCTCTTATCCAGAGCGACTTACAGTTAGTGAGTGCATACATTTTCATACCTGTTTTCATCACACCTATTCCCAACTTAACCCGCCAAGACAATGCGCTGTAGGACGTTGGTACCCAGCCAGGCGCTAATGAGTCTCTCTCTCTCTCCTCACTGAATGAATGACAAATGGATGAATGGGCGATAATTCTGCACATTACTTCACAATCGAATTTAAATTAGGCCTAACTGAATGATAAGGAGGGTGAAGAGGTTGATTTAATTTAGAACAACAAACGTGTAATGATGAGTTTGTGATATGCCTATTTATTATCGTTGGCACTCATGTTAATAATTTGACCGCGCCTCTTGCGGGTTGATATCATTCTCTTACGTTTTACTTTGTAAAATTAAGATGTTACGGGACTGTTTTATTTACTATAACGCTATTAGTAATAACATTTATTGTACGGGAAACGAAATCATGCTACGTGTTGCAGTAGGTCTTTAGAATAATGCCAAATATATCCTTGACTCTATCCATGTTGATGAGCAAGGGGAAACAAACGATGCCAGTCAGTCTGCACAGCCAGCCCATCGAAACTACACCTTAACTATATGGAAACTAATTTCAAACATAATAAGAGCTAGCCTATAGACAATATTAAATTGACAATAGTCTGATGAGTGACAGCATTATCAGTTGTCAAATTGTACATCTTGTAATTGACAGATGTAGGGAAAGGAGCATCACTTTATCAAATCCTCCTTCAGAGTCATGCAGGTAAAACATTTTGATTTATATATAGTATCAGAAAGAGCATATTCTGCAGTTTCTATAACACTTACCTTTGTCAAATAACTCTCAAAATTCAAGAGGTGCAGCTATTTCCAAATGTAACTTTTTCCAATAATATCTGCGCTGTCCATGCTTTCAGCACATGACCACTCACATGGCAGCATTGTTCTGGCTACTGTGATGGACTTGAAATAGTGGTTTTTCGTTTTTACTTAAAGCCTGGAGTAACATAAACTAATGAAAATGCTATAATGTTTTTTGAAATAATTGTTTTTTCGTTTTCTAATGTTACCTTTATAAACACAACCTAATTATTATTCTTCCAATAGCATACAGTTGACTTCGGAAGTCTACATACAACTTAGCCAAATACATTTAAACTCAGTTTTTCACAATTCCTGACATTTAATCCTAGTAAAAATTCCCTGTCTTAGGTCAGTTAGGATCACCACTTTATTTTAAGAATGTGAAATGTCAGAATAATAGTAGAGAGAATTATTTATTTCAGCTTTATTTCTTTCATCACATTCCCAGTGGGTCAGAAGTTTACATACACTCAATTAGTATTTGGTTGCATTGCCTTTAAATTGTTTAACTTGGGTCAAACGTTTCAGGTAGCCTTCCACAAGCTTTCCACAATAAGTTGGGTGATTTTTGGCCCATTCCTCCTGACAGAGCTGGTGTAACTGAGTCAGGTTTGTAGGCCTCCTTGCTCGCACACACTTTTTCAGTTCTGCCCACAAATGTTCTATAGGATTGAGGTCAGGGCTTTGTGATGGCCACTCCAATACCTTGACTTTGTTGTCCTTAAGCCATTTTACCACAACTTTGGAAGTATGCTTGGGGTCATGGTCCATTTGGTAGACCCATTTGCGACTAAGCTTTAACTTCCTGACTGATGTCTTGAGATGTTGCTTCAATATATTCACATCATTTTCCTTCCTCATGATGCCATCTATTTTGTGAAGTGCACCAGTCTCTCCTGCAGCAAAGCACCCCCACAGCATGATGCTGCCACCCCCGTGCTTCACGGTTGGGATGGTGTTCTTCTGCCTTTTTCCTCCAAACATAACGACGGTCATTATGGCCAAACAGTTCTATTTTTGTTTCATCAGACCAGAGGACATTTCTCCAAAAAGTACAATATCTGTCCCCATGTGCAGTTGCAAACCATAGTCTGGCTTTTTTATGGCGGTTTTGGAGCAGTGGCTTCTTCCTTGCTGAGCGGCCTTTCAGGTTATGTCGATATAGGACTCGTTTTACTGTGAATATAGATACTTTTGTACCGGTTTCCTCCAGCATCTTCACAAGGTCCTTTGCTGTTGTTCTGGGATTGATTTGCACTTTTCACACCAAAGTACGTTCATCTGTAGGAGACAGAACGCGTCTCCTTCCTGAGTGGTATGACGGCTGCGTGGTCCCATGGTGTTTATACTTGCGTACTATTGTTTGTACAGATGAACTTGGTACCTTCAGGCGTTTGGAAATTGCTCCCAAGGATGAACCAGACTTGTGGAGGTCTACAATTTTTTTCTGAGGTCTTGGCTGATTGCTTTTGATTTTCCCATGATGTCAAGCAAAGAGGCACTGAGTTTGAAGGTAGGCCTTGAAATACATCCACAGGTACACCTCCAATTGACTCAAATTATGTCAATTAGCCTATCAGAAGCTTCTAAAGCCATGACATCATTTTCTGGAATTGTCCAAGCTGTTTAAAGACACAGTCAACTTAGTGTATGTAAACTTCTGACCCACTGGAATTGTGATACAGTGAATTACAAATAATCTGTTTGTAAACAATTGTTGGAAAATGTACTTGTGTCATGCACAAAGTAGATGTCCTAACCGACTTGCCAAAACTATAGTTTGTTAACAAGACATTTGTGGAGTGGATTATTCTTTATATTTAATTTCTTGGAATGCCATTTAACTTCCTTGAGTATCCTGATAACACATATTCTGTAGGCTATTTATGTAAATGACTAGTTGTTAACTGTATAAAACCAGAGCCTGATTCTTGCAGTTGATGGCATTATGTTTCGATCAGTTAGTTTCCCAGTCTCTCACCCCTCTCCCCATCTTTCCGTTGTTGTGTGGCAGGCCAATGAACCTGAAGGCAGCCTCCTGGATGAAGTAAGGGTTAAGGATCCTCATCTCACTGGGCTCCCTGGGGATATGACGGGCCACAGACTTCCAGAACCCATTTGTACTATGCTACGAGAGAGAGAGAGAGAGAGGAAGAAAAGTTAGTTTGAATAATAGCATTAAAAATGGAAATAACAAATGAAGACAACAGTAATACATTTACCACTTGCTATAACAATGTGACCTCTCTCTGTTGGTGGTCTCCAACAGCACAAGTCTTCCAGCTTTTAGACCTGACCACTGCATATCAATTACAAGGGAGCTCAGCCAGCCCAGAGCACCTCAACATCTCTTCTCATCAGACGTGGTTTCAAATACTAATTTATATAATTTCAAATACTTTGAGCTTTTGCTTTAGCCTGCTTGGAGTGCCAGCTGGGCAGGATTTGCCATTTTGGGACTATTCTATTTGTTCATTAAGTCAGGCAAGCTTAATCAAGCACAGGTGATGTATTTGAAATTATTTCAGGTTCATATTTGAACCACGGTCTGCTTCTCATGTTCTTCTGCCTTGTGATTAGTCGTTCATTCTTCTCTTCAGCTGAGAAACTGGCAAAGTGAGAGCTGATGCTTACCAGTTGGTCAGGGAATTTTAACCCAAGTCATCTGTACAAATAGACCAGAGTGCTTCCTTTGATATTTCCAAATAAAGAGTGACTAAAATATAGCCAAGTGGCTTTGAGGCGGTTTGGCTGTGTGCCCAGGACAAGCCCAGACACAACACACCACTCTGTCAGACTGGTTCTGAATAAAGGGCCTTTCTGATTCTGACAGGGCAACAACATCACAGCAAGGGACACATAAAGCCAGGCCCAGGGACACAGTCCCCCCCACCCCCACCCCCACCCCCCTGTAGAACATGTGGTCTCAGGTTTCACCTGGTTGTTCTGAGGGTGAAAAGTGATGGAAGATGACACCTATACTTACTTATTGGGAATTGCCTTTATTTGATTTATGATACAGTATATTGTCCAAGGTCTTGTTCAGATTCAACTTGCCACAATCAACAAAATATACCCAATTGCACTCTATACTCCTCTGTAAACTGGTAATCTCTGTATACCCGTCGCAAGACCCACTGGTTGATGCTTATTTATAAAACCCTCTTAAGCCTCACTCCCCCCTATCTGAGATACCAACTGCAGCCCTCATCCTCCACATACAACACCCGTTCTGCCAGTCACATTCTGTTAAAGGTCCCCAAAGCACACACATCCCTGGGTCGTTCCTCTTTTCAGTTCGGTGCAGCCAGCGACTGGAACGAGCTGCAAAAAACACTCAAACTGGACAGTTTTATCTCCATTTCTTCATTCAAAGACTCAATCATGGACACTCTTACTGACAGTTGTGGCTGCTTCGCGTGATGTATTGTTGCCTCTAACTTCTTGCCTTTGTGCCCAATAATGTTTGTACCATGTTTTGTGCTCTTACCATGTTGTGCTGCTGCCATGTTGTGTTGCTACCATGCTGTTGTTGTCTTAGGTCTCTCTTCATGTAGTGTTGTGGTGTCTCTCTTGTCGTGATGTGTGTTTTGTCCTATATTTTTATTTTTACTCCCAGCCCCGTCCCCGCAGGAGGCCTTTGTCTTTTGGTAGGCCGTCATTGTAAATAATAATTTGTTCTTAACTGACTTGCCTAGTTAAATAAAGGTTAAATAAAATAAATACAATAATGTCACATGTCAGTCACACATACAGAGTTCCAGGTCCTGTAGCAAGATCCCAAGCTAGGTCTGGGGCAGGGAGGAGAGCCAAAAAGTTCCAGGTCGTAACCTAGCCTACTGGGGTGGGAGGAGGTCCAGGAAATCAGGGCTCATTTTTTTGTGGGGAGGCCACTCTACTGCACTAAGCTTACTGTATATACTTCACAGAGGTGTTCCAGAGAACCACAGACCGGTTTAGGGAGCCCTGTGACTATTACAGCAACAAGGGGTTCCTTTTACAGGCTAGGAGTTTATAAAAAAAACAAGTAAAGAACACTTCACAGCACAGGCTGTTTGTCATCTGTGTTTTCTTTAGTCAAAAAGATAGATTTGAAGGCCTATGTATCGCACGCTTAGATAACTAACTCCGTAATCTAGCCTGTAAAGGAGTGGCCTTCACTAAAGACATTCCTTTTCAAATGTATTTATCCAAAGTACTTATGCTAAGTATTTATAGAGCAAGTTGTGGTTGTATGTCCTCAGTTCAGATAAGATGGCACCGACAGACACAGTCACCCTGTTTCTATCTCCTAGCCAATTTTGCAGTATTTCTACGAAAGTTTCTAGTATTATTTCCTACAACTGAAAATATATTTTGGACATTTGATCGGTTGTCACTCACCAGAGATATGACCAGAAGTTCGTCTTCCCTGACCTGGATCTTTTGTTTAGATTTCCCAAGGCAGCCGCATTCATCCCAGGTGCTCCACCAGAGGGAGGAGAGCTCGGGTTCTAGTCAGGCGGCGAGCAAACCATCCACCGCTTCCGAGTATATTACTCGCTAACATTCAGTCCCTGGACAATAAAGTAGATGAGCTCAGGGCTAGGATCTCCTTTCAGAGAGACATAAGGGACTGTAACATACTCTGTTTTACAGAATCAAGGCTCTCTCCCTATACATTGTCCCCATCCATACAGCCAACAAGGTTCTCTTTACATCGCGCGGACAGGAAGAAAGAACTCTCTGGAAAAAAACTAAGGTGGGAGGTATGTCTCATGATTAACAACTCATGGTGTGATTGTGGTAATGTGCAGGAACTCAAGTCCTTTTGTTTTCCCGATCTGGAAAATCTCACCATCAAATGCCGACAACATTACCTCCTGAGATAATTATCTTTGGCTATTGTCACTGCCCTGTATATTCCCCCCCAAGCCGACATCACGATGGCTCTCAAGGAACTACACTGGACTTTGTGCAAACTGGAAACCTCATATCCTGAGGCCGCATTTATTGTAGCTGTGGACTGTAATAAAGGAAATCTGAGGAAAACACTCCCGAAATTCTACCAACACATCTCCTGTGCTACACGAGGAGAGAGCACGCTTGACCAATGTTACTCTCCCTTCCGGGATGGCTACAAGGCCCTTGGTAATATTTAAAATTATATAATAATATTATAATAATATAATAATATATAATAATAGGTAATATGTACATGTAGTAGAGGTAAAGTGACTATACACAGATAATAAACAGAGAAGCCTTTTGGACCTACACCTGGCGCTCCGGTACCGCTTGCCGTGTGGTAGCAGAGAGAACAGCCTATGACTAGGGTGGCTGGAGTCTTTGGCAATTTTTAGTGCCTTCCTCTGACACCGCCTGGTATAGAGGTCCTGGATGGCAGGAAGCTTGGCACCAGTGATGTACTGGGCCGTACGCACTACCCTCTGTAGTGCCTTGCGGTCCGAGGCCGAGCAGATGCCATACCAGGCGGTGATGCAACCAGTCAGGATGCTCTCAATGGTGCAGCTGTATAACTTTTTGAGGATCTGAGGACCCATGCCAAATCTTTTCAGTCTCCTGAGGGGGAATAGGCATTGTTGTGACCTCTTCACGACTGTCTTGGTGTGTTTGGGCCATGATAGTTTGTTGGAGATGTGGACACCAAGGAACTTGAAGCGCTCAACCTGCTCCACTACAGCCATGTCGATGAGAATGGGGGAGTGCTCCACCCTCCTTTTCCTGTAGTCCACGATCATCTCCTTTGTCTTGGTCACGTTGAGGGAGAGGTTGTTATCCTGGCACCACACGGCCAGGTCTCTGACCTCCTCCCTATAGGCTGTCTCATCGTTGTCGGTGATCAGGCCTACCACTGTTGTGTCGTCAGCAAACTTAATGATGGTGTTGGAGTCGTGCCTGGCCATGCAGTCATGGGTGAACAGGGAGTACAGGAGGGGACTGAGCACGCACCCCTGAGGGGCCCCCGTGTTGAGGATCAGCGTGGCAGATGTGTTGTTACCTACCCTTACCACCTGGGGGCGGCCCGTCAGGAAGTCCAGGGTCCAGTTGCAGAGAGAGGTGTTTAGTCCCAGGATCCTTAGCTTAGTGATGAGCTTTGAGGGCACTATGTTGTTGAACGCTGAGCTGTAGTCAATGAATAGCATTCTCACGTAGGTGTTCCTCTTGTCCAGGTGGGAAAGGGCAGTGTGGAGTGCAATAGAGATTGCATCATCTGTGGATCTGTTGGGGCAGTATGCATTGTAATTTTGAATTCCGTAAAGTGAGTGTGGAAGAGTGACAAGCCACCTAGGTCTGACAACTTTGATGGAAAATTACTGAGGATGATAGCAGACTATATTGCCACTCCTATTTGCCATCTCTTCAATCTAAGCCTACAGGAAAGTGTGTGCCCTCTGGCCTGGAGGGAAGAAAAAGTAATTCCGCTACGCAAGAATAGTAAAGCACCCTTTACTGGCTCAAACAGCTGACCAATCAGCCTGCTACCTACCCTTAGTTGTAAACTTTTGGAAAAATTGTGTTTGACCAGATACAATGCTATTTCACAGTAAACACATTAACAACATACTTTCAGCATGCTTATAGGGAGGGGCACTCAACATGTTCAGAACTTACACAAATTACTGATGATTAGCTGAAATAATAAAAAAATAAAAAAATAAAGACCTGCCACTGGCACTGAGTAAAGCCTGTGTGTCTGATGACTCAACATTATTGGGCTCCCGAGTGGCGCAGTGGTCTAAGGCACTGCATCTCAGTGCTTGAGGTGTCACTAAAGACCCCCTGGTTCGATTCCAGGCTGTATCACAACCGGCCATGATTGGGAGTCCCATAGGGCGGCGCACAATTGGCCCAGCATCGTCCGGGTTTGGCCGGTGTAGGCCGTCATTGTAAATAAGAATTTGTTCTTAACTGACTTGCCTAGTTAAATAAAGGTAAAAAAAACAAACAAAAACAAAAACAAAAACAAAAACAAAAATATATATATATACACGTCAGCTACCACAGCAAGTGAAATCACTGCAACACTTAACAAAGCGGTGCAGTCAGTTTTAGAATAGAAGGCAAGTAATAAGCTTTTCAAAATCTAAAAGCATTGTATTTGTGGCAAACCATTCACTAAACCTG